CCCCCTCAAAATAAATAAATAAACAACTTCCAGATGTTTTCTTTCTTACTCAAAGTAAAAATCAAAATCCTTACAGCAAGCTACCAGGCCTCACGTGATCTCATCTTCTACTCCCATCCGTCTCCTGTCTCCTCTCTCACTACCCAGACTTCCAGCCACACTGGCCTCCTCTCTGGTCCCCAGCACACGCGGCCTTGGTTCCTTTGCACTTGCTCTTTCCCCAGATAATCTTCTCTGTTGCTTCATTCAGGTCATGGCTCAAATATCAGTTTCTCAGTGAGGCCTTCCTTGACCACAGGATTTAAGATCTCACACCACCAACACCACCTCCACCTCTCTTTCAAACCTGCTTTATTTTTCCCCATCGCGCTTTCTTGATCTGACATACCCCAGACCACTGCATCCTGCTTACAAGAATAAACTCTGAAGCCAGATTGCCTAGGTTTGTATCCCAACTCTGTCACTCTCAAGATGTAGGACCTAGGCTTCTCTGTGCCTCAGTTGCTTTGTAAAGTGGGATAGTTTTTATCTCATCAGAACAGAACCTCACCTACAGTGTTAGGAGTTCACCATGATTATTTTTGTTGTGTTATTATTATTGTATTTTACTTATTAACTTCCTTTATCTTCCCCTTCCCTTATTGGAATGTAAATTCCATGAGAGAACTTTTTTACTTTGGTTATTGCTATATTCACAGCTTCCACAACAGGGCCTGGCACATAGTAGGCACTTAACAAATATTTGCTAATCAAATTGTCCTCTGGAAAGAGTAATGGGGAAGAGATGAATCCAGGAAGACCTGAGCTCTATGTGTACCATTTAAAACTTTTACCAAAAGAATGTGTTCATGTATTGTGTCCTCAAAAAGCTTATAGACCTCAGTGGAAAAAAGACATGTAGACAAATGAATTCCTAGAGGATTGATAATATGAGAGTTGAGTTGTAAAAGATGCATAGTTCAGATAAAGTATGACACAGATGGGCAGTCCTCCAGGCAGAGGGAATAGAATGTGCAAAAGCAAAGAGGTACAAGATATCAGAGCAGCTCTGAGCGCTGTAAGCAGTGGAAAATGAGAAGACTTTTCAGTGTTCTGGGCTATTAAATGCTCCGTCACATCCTTCTCTCTGACCCACTCCTATATTCCAGCATCTCTAGTGTTTGGCTGTAATTAGAAGATTATTACTCCATTAAGGCAAACATTTCAAGTTTTTTTCTCATTATTTTCCAGAAAGTCCTTTTCTAGGTTCCTGCTTCCCATAAATTCCATTCATTTTGTTTCATTATTCCCCTTCACATTTGATTCTAGCTTCCTTTGGTGTCTTTGGTTTTCTTATTATTAAGAAACTCATATAGGGGCACCCTGGTGGCTCAGTCATTTGAGCTTGAGTTCAGCTCAGGTCATGGGATCGACCCCCGCATCAGGTTCCAGGCTGAGAGTGGAAGCTTGCTTAAGAGTCTCTCTCTCTCCCTCTCTCTCTCTCTCTCTCTCCCGCTGCCCCTCTCCCCTACTCATGCTCTCTCTCTCTCTCTCTCAAAAGAAAAAGAAAAAAAAATCCCATATAATTTCTACCTGTGGAATATAGTGAAAAAAGAGGAAGATGTAGGTGATAGACAGTCTTGCTATATAGCTTTAAGAACACAGTTGTTCAACGAAATTACTTTAGTAATGAAAATCTAAAATCCTATAAGTGTTAGTCTTTAGTTCCTTACCAAAGACTAGAAAGTGAAGAAACTCTTTTCTCAATGTGCGATGCAAGCCTTTCTTGAGGTTGACTTTAAAATCGGGGCCTTTTACTGCCCACCTTGCTTCTTCCCATAGAGTTGGGAATCATGACAGCACAAACCAAGACGAGCAGTAGCATTAACCTCCTGGGTTAGCTTCTGGAACCTTCTTTGTTTATATCTTGTCTCACATTGAATTGTGACTGTATCTGTCTCGGACAGTCCCTTAAAGGTAAGAATCCTAACAAGTGGGGTGCTTGGGTGGCTCAGTCGGTTAAGCGGGCGCCTGGGTGGCTCAGTCGGTTAAGCGGCCGACTTTGGCTCAGGTCATGATCTCGCGGTCCGTGAGTTCGAGCCCCGCGTCAGGCTCTGTGCTGACCGCTCAGAGCCTGGAGCCTGTTTCAGATTCTGTGTCTCCCTTTCTCTCTGACCCTCCCCCGTTCATGCTCTGTCTCTCTCTGTCTCAAAAATAAAAAAAATAAATAAAAAAAAAAAAAAGAACCCTAACAAGTGATCCTTTGTACACCCAGCTCAACACCTACCTCATAACGGATGCTCAGTAAAACACTTGTTAAATTGAATTGAACTGAGCTGAATTGAATTAGATTATAGTACCACAGGAGAAGGGGACTTTTTAGTTTGCTTTGTAAGCGAAATTGATTTAAAACAAAGCTAGGAAAGAAAAATCCTTCTTTTGTTGTTTTTCATAAACATAGTCTAAATTTGGGGTATAGATACCAATATGTTCACCGCCCATAATTTTTTAAGCATTCCGCAGTGACTCATCAAAGTCCTCAAATAGATACTTTTTAAAAGTCACAATGGCCCTAGGAAATAAAATTAGACTTGGCAAATATAAATAGTATTTTCTCTTTGCAGTCAAAAATGTGGGGTCTTATTGATACGCAGAGGAGGATCATTACGTATAATTTCAGTTAAGTTACTTCTTTTCTTTGCACCGGTAGCAGAGTCTGAAGGGAAGCAAATAAAGGTCACCGCTGAATTCCTGTAGGGTTTCCCAGCAGGTTTGTTTCATTCTTAACCATCACTGACCAAAGACTTCTTGTGCTGTCTTTCAAGAAAGCAGTGCTGCTTCGTTTCCTGACACTTGTTTTCTGTCCTCCACGTGTCTCCAGTCCTACTGGCCAGAAAACCAGTCCAGACAGATGTGCCCATATTTCAGTAGCGGAATAAATGAATTTAGCTTCTACTCCTTTCCCTCTACTTCATCTTTTTTTTTTTTCTTTTGCAAAGGAGTTTTCATTTAAATCCTCCAAGTGCCAAATCTGCCAGGTCTAAAACTGCAAAACACTGGTAATAATAAGGGACCTGGCCATCACCCCTCCAACCCTCTGCTACAGGTCTGTCTCCTGAGCGTGAGTGTGGCACTTAAAAATACCGCCCCCAGAGCTCCTATATCACAGCAAAGGCTCTTTTGCCAACAGGAGCCATTCAGATGAATTCACTTATTCAGTATACCTTTATTGGGTCCCTGCTAGAAGTCAGCATCTGTGCTGAGTGAGCGCTGGAGATCCACCTTGGAGATCGAAGAAGTCTCAGACCCACCCTAAGCACCTCACAGTCTAGTGTGACAGAAATAACCGAGGAGTACCTACGGAATAATCATACAGAGCTAAAATAGCACCAGAAAGTGATTAGAGCCGTGGGAGGGATCCGTCCAGCATGGAGGAGTTTGAGAAGGCTTCACAGAAAAGGTGGCTTTTAATCCTTAGCCTTAAAGGATTTCATCAGGGGCACCTGGGTAGCTCAGTCAGTTGAGTGTGCGACTTCAGCTCAGGTCATGATCTCATGGTTCGTGGGTTTGAGCCCCGCATCAGGCTCTGTGCTGACAGCCCAGAGCCTGGAGCCTGCTTCGGATTCTGTGTCTCCCTCTCTCTCTGCCCCTCCCCCACTAGTGCTCTGTCTCTCTCTTTCCCTCTCTCAAAAATAAACATTAAAAAAATATATAAAGGATTTCGTCAGACAGAGAAGGGCTGTCTAGCATTCTGGACACAGGACCTAAGAGCAAACAGGTGGGAACGCACATGAGGTGTTTAGGGGACAGCAAGTGTTGGGGCGCTCCCGGGGCCTCAGGGTGGGAAGTGGAGTCAGACGAGCAAGGGAACAATCCAGTGGCAGTATATGTGGGGCCCGAGGGCGCAGGTTCCAGAGCCTGGGTTTGAGTCACAGCTAAGCCACTTACTGGCTGTGGTGACCTTGGAAAATCACTTCACCTCTCCATAGCTTGATTTTGTCATCTTTTAAATAAGGATAATAGCGTCTATTTCACACATACGTACACATGCACGTATGGCTTAAAACAGTTCTCAGAACACAATAAATACAAGTATGAGTTATCACAAGGACACAATGTGAAGGGCCTCAAGTTTTAACTTGTGTGTCATTCTGTAAGCAAAAGAAAGGTCTTCAAGTGGAAGAGGCAAAAATATGCAATAGGATATCGTCTGTATTTTAGAAAATGAATTCTAGTGCCACTTTGCAGAGGACACTGGCTGAGGAGGAGACTGAAGGGACACAGTCCAAGTTCTGAAGCCATTTCGAGAGTACAGATAAGAGGTGCTCGATGGAACGTGGTTCTCAGTTAATACAGTAGCCTTGCCCTTAAAACTCCTGGGTTCCTAACTAGAAATTTCAAACAGGAAGTTTTAGCCTTACCAGATCTTGCAGATTTAGTGCTAAAAAACCCCATGAGATCCCCGGGGAGGAGCACCGAGGGAGGGCTCTCCTAGCCCGGATGTCTGAGTGCCCCGCACACCAGGACAGTAATCCTTGCATACTCTTCACGATCTCCTTCATCCAGTCACAAGTCACGGGCAAGATCTTCTAATTTGGAGATGCTTTTCCTTTTCCCCCTTTGAGTAACCTCAAGTCTACCGGTCAGTTTCCTAGAGGAAGTTCTGGCTTCCGGACTGCACAGCAGAAGCAAGGAGAGCTCTCAAGTTACAGCGAGGTCCACAAGCAGACGGTGAACCTGAACCGGCGCGGGGAGAGGAGGCACAGGGCGAGGAGGCCGGCGCAGCTCGCCCTCAACCTCCCTGCAGGCTGTCCCCACTGGCCGCGGGTGTTGGAGGAGAGCCTTGGGTTTCACGCTTGTCCTTATAACCCACCTCCAGGTAGCCTGCTCACTCCTGAACTGTAGGCACAGACACCCACATCCCAGGGACAAGTTGAGAAGAACTCTGTGCCGGTCCTGACCCACCTTTCCCGTGGTTTCCTTATCAAATAAACAGATATATTCCTTGTATTTGACAGCACAATCACTTTGGTTTCTGATGAATTTTGTTGGGATCTCACTTGAGTAAAGGGTTATCAGAGCTCAGAAGGGTTTAAAAAGTAAACTATTTGATGCACACGCTACACATCCTCCCTTCTCTTGACCCCTTTTACTTTTCATTAACCACATTCCTGCACACCTCATTTTTGAAAACTCATCATGTTTCTGTAGAAAGCCATCCCAAAATTGTTCCTACACTGCAATTTTCTGTGGCACTGAGAAACCATGTATGACTACAATAAAAATCCATTTTGTGAAAAGATACAAGTTTTTATTTCTTTGGGGTTAATGGGGTTTATGGGAATTCGCAAGATGAGGCATGAGTTGGCTTTACACCAAACAGAGAGAAGGCATCGCTTCTATCCAGAGGATATTTAAACTATGTCAACGCTCAGGCGATTAAGTATCCAGCTCTTGGCTTTGGCTCAGGTCATGATCTCACAGTTTGTGGGTTCAAGCCCCACATCGGGCTCTTGCGCTGACAGTGTGGACCCTGCTTGGGATTCTCTCTCCCCTCTCTCTCTGCCCCTCCCCCGCACGCATGCTCTGTTTCTCTCTCTAAATAAATAAACTTCCAAAAATTAATGTCAAGGCAGAGTCATAACTTCTGGTGTCAATTTCAGTTCTCTTGAAAACAGTGGAAGCTGATGTCACTAATGCCAGATTACAGCATCCTCAGATCATAGCAAAAACACAGCACAATCCCTCTCTGGCTCTCTGTAGGCCCTTTATATGTTTTTTAACCTTTCTTTCATGTGGAACCGAAAATATTCTCTAGCCTCAGATACCCTAGGCTCAAATCTGTCACAATTATCAGACTTTGGGGATGATATATAAATATAAATATAAATATATATGATATATATGTAAAAGTGATAAACTACCTCATAGGATCATGAGGATTAGATGAGATAATACATATAAAGCACTTAGAACATTGTAAACACTAAATGAAATTTGACTACGAATAGGACAGTAAGACTGATTCCTATCTCCAACTTGGGGCTACAAAATCACTACATAAAAAGTTTGGATTCCTGTCAACCCTCCCACTGCACTAATCAGCAACTCAAGAAATAAAAGGAAAAATAAAGGTCATTCCATCCATCCCCCTTTTCCCATTCCTCCTCCCCCCTTTTCATCATTGTTTCTTTAACTTCCAGTCATGTGAAGCCCTAAGGCTTTTGGCTGTAGTATAGCTCAGAGCTAGGTCTTACTTCTCTTTTCTTTTCTTTTTTTTTTTTTTTTTTTTT